TGTTCCCAAAATGCTGTCTCGAGGTATCACTCAGAACCAGGTGGACAAAATACTGATAGAGAATCCTAAACAATGGCTGACATTTAAATAAACCAGCTGCCTTAAAAATCGATTTCCTTCCTCAAGTTAACATACCAAAAATTGATTTCAAATTTTTATTGTTAGGAACATTGTTGTACTGTTGATTTTGGTGCTAAAATCCTTACTTTGGTGAGCGTTAATTCATGTGCACTGTTAAAAATAAAGGTTTCAAAAGAGGGTTTTATAGAAACACAATAGAAGAGCCATTCTGGGTTCCCCAAAGAACCTTTCAATTAACAGTTTTTAAAAGAAACATTTTTTTTAGTGTGAAGAATATTTTAATAATCGTGCAGTGGAATGGTTTCTTCATGGAACCATTGATGCCAAAAAAAAACCTTTATGTAAGATGGCAAAGTTTAGACCCATAGCTCACATGTTAAGTTTAACACTAACTAGAATATTCATATCAAATATTCACCAGTCTTCAATGATCAAAGTTCTCTCACCACAAAAAAGTGGGTAAAATAAAAACATGGCTCTGAGTTGTGGAAAATAGGTGCTTTTTACTTAAGTTGACAAATAAAATACGATTAATTAGACTAATAATGCAGCTCAGGGAATCACAACTAAGCAATAGATAATGGAAACAAGTGGAACAGTACTGGTGTATTCAAAGGTCTGATGAAATATCCTGACTACATTACTTACTAATTAGCCCGTGCAAAATATCTATTAATCGATCACACATTCTAATAGTTTGCAAAATTTTCTTTCTGATATTGTGTAGCTGCAAACATCTCAACCAGTTAATAATGTTGAACATACTTGACAACGACTGACTATTAGAACTAAGGTGATTGAATGTGACCGTATGCCTAAAGTAAGACAGCTTGCTGTACACGTTTGCTCTTTGGCAAGCCTGATGTTTCACAGCGCATCTGATCATTTGAAGGCATGCGTTCTGGCAGGTCATTGGGTAGGACAGAGAGACATGCGTTTCTCTGGAGCAGGTGGCTGCTCACACTAGTAAAATAATGACACTGTCAGGTGCTCTGTTCCCGTGTAACAGCAAGGTAATATTAAAAAACATGCCGAGTCATCCGTAAGTAACTTTTAAGAAGATGGCATGGTAATTAATCTTGCCCATTTCCTTTCATTTAAAATTTTTTTTTTTTGCTCCAGCATGAAAAACTGATTTCCTTTTTTAATGTATAGATATAGGACTACCATTTTACAGTCGTATATTTAGTTTAGTGCTTTTAAAGGAATAGCAAAATATTATAAACAATGACAATACTTGAAGTAATCAAGTCAAGGATATTTCATAGTTGCA